TAATTAAATAATTAATCATATTAATCAATTAATTTAATTAGCGAGTCTATTTAATTAAAAACAAGTTTTAATTAAATACCAAATTAAAGTTCAACTCTAATTCCACGATTATATAGCGGATTCATTTAATCAAAATCAAATTTTAGTTAAATATCATATTAGAGTCCAACTCTAATTTCAAGATATTAGGACGCACTTATTTAATTAAATACTAAATTAGAATCCAACTCTTATTTAAATTGAATTAACATTTTAATTTAGGATAAAACTCCTAAATAAAATAAAATTCTATTTAGGATCAAAATTTAATATTTAAGTTAAAATCCAATTTTAACAAAAATATAAAAGTCATCAATTTTAAATTGGTCAAAATTGATATTTTAGGGTAAACATTTTAAAATCTAATTCAAAAACTTTTTCATATTTAAATTCAAAATCATTTCAAATATTGCAATCTGACCCCTACTTTTAAAATTATAAACAGTCTATTCAATTAACTTAATTGCATGACAAGCCATTCATTTAAAAATTGCAAAGTGACCCTATTATTTTAATTGCTGGCAGGGCTTGGAATTTTAGAAATTGTAAGCCATGCCCTCACCTCCAATCACTCCGATCGAAACCCTANTCCACTAATAAAACATTTATCATATAAATACTTTCCTATGTAATATCTAATATTATATGCATATATGTTTCAATTTTCTAGCAATTAAGGTCGTTTAAACTAATTTAGATAAATGGATAGAGATAATTAAATAATTAATCATATTAATCAATTAATTTAATTAGCGAGTCTATTTAATTAAAAACAAGTTTTAATTAAATACCAAATTAAAGTTCAACTCTAATTCCACGATTATATAGCGGATTCATTTAATCAAAATCAAATTTTAGTTAAATATCATATTAGAGTCCAACTCTAATTTCAAGATATTAGGACGCACTTATTTAATTAAATACTAAATTAGAATCCAACTCTTATTTAAATTGAATTAACATTTTAATTTAGGATAAAACTCCTAAATAAAATAAAATTCAATTTAGGATCAAAATTTAATATTTAAGTTAAAATCCAATTTTAACAAAAATATAAAAGTCATCAATTTTAAATTGGTCAAAATTGATATTTTAGGGTAAACATTTTAAAATCTAATTCAAAAACTTTTTCATATTTAAATTCAAAATCATTTCAAATATTGCAATCTGACCCCTACTTTTAAAATTATAAACAGTCTATTCAATTAACTTAATTGCATGACAAGCCATTCATTTAAAAATTGCAAAGTGACCCTATTAGTTTAATTGCTGGCAGGGCTTGGAATTTTAGAAATTGTAAGCCATGCCCTCACCTCCAATCACTCCGATCGAAACCCTAACCCCATCTTCTTCTTCTTCTTCTTTTTTCTTTCTTAGGCATCTGTCTTCTACTGCGGAAACCACTGCTGTCAAGCGAAGGCATCCTACTACCCTGAAGCAACTCGAAAGCATTGCTTACAGCAGCGCTTTCGAGCATCAGTGAAACAGCGACATCGCACTCTGCCGCCACTATAAAGCCCAGCAACGCCTAGTGCCGTTGCTAATATTGCTGCTATTGTAGCTACAAAGCCCAACGATGCCCATTATCGTTGCCAATCTTGCTGCAGCGCGCTACAACTAGCACGACTGGGTGCTGCACGCTGCCTTCGCGCTTGGTGGCTCTCCCATTTTTCCTCCAGATCCAGATTTTCGACCCAAAAAAATTATTTTCTATTCAAAAACAAATTTTAGAAGATGAAAATAATTTCTTTTTTTTAAGCTAGAAACATGTAAAAAAAAATCAACCAAAGATTCAAAACAATTTCTAACAAATAAAAAGTAGGTTCTAATACCACTATTGTGAATTTACTTAAACATGCATAGCGGAAAATAAAATAATTTCAATTCCCAACAAGGATTTTCTTTGTGTTTAGGAAGAAACTGTGATACAAAATAAACATTTGTTGATTCTACAAACTCCTTTGTTGATCATGAAATACAAACAATCACGATCTGCAATCCACGTCTGTCCAATTGTCCAGTTTCCAATGAAAATCTATACGGAAAACAAGAATGAGAGAATTAGAGTTTCTCTTTTCTTGTGCTAACAAGATAATAAATTATGTTATGTTCTATTTTTCTGAAACCATAATAGATTATTAATATAAGTTCAAATGGGTTTGATCCATCTTTTAAATTTAACCCAATCCAATGTTTAATTAATGTAATTAATTAAATTTGGTTTATGAATTAATTAATCCAATTAATCAATTCGAGCTATTAACAAGTAATCCAATTAATTAATTGTCCAACACTTGTTAATTAATTAATTGGTGAAGTCATTCTTCTGGTTCTCCTTTTGTGTGTAACCCATTAGGTTCCTGATCACAATACCTAACGATACGAATTATTATTTTGATCTAATCAAAATTGATAAATTAAAATATCCCTTAATAATTTATCATCAATTTACACCCGTCGTCTCAAATTGACACTTAACAATGTGTCGGGCAATACATGTGATGGGAAATGTCACGTGGTATAACAAAATCAAATTTGTAAGTTTACCGTGAAATTATAATCTTTTCGTCAATATGATCCGATCAATTATGAAATATGGATATGTATCAATCTCAATTATCGATTATATCTTTTGTTCCACTATTAAGTTTTTCGACTTGTAAGTACACATTTCCCAAGAATTTCGTATCAACTTAACTAATGAAATGTGGATCACAATCTATTACTATCTAAGAGTGACGATTCCTCTATTAATAATTCAAAACTTTCATATGATTATTGACATACCCGAGCGATGTCGTATTAGTGACCCTTTATAGAGAAACATTCAACATCACCAAGGTATGATTGTCCACGTATAAGGCACTATGATGACCTCAAGTTAAAGGACCAATTTCACTACCAAACTTAGAGATTAACCACTGACACTCAGATAGCTATCCATATGAAATTTCTCTAATGGGTCTCCAATGTTTTGTTCTTTAACAAAACATCAACGTATTCATTCAAGTATTACCACACTTTAACTTGTGATATCACTTACTTACTTCACAAGTAAGAAATGCCACACATGATAATCTATCAGTAATAACGATATCCGTATCTCGTTATTACTTACGACCATTGATTATTTAAGATTCAGTCATAAGTAATTTGTATCTCACAATCACAACTCCTTATAATTAACAAATTACTAAGATTTGAATATACGAACTCTATCATTCAATTAATTAAATAATAGATTTACAATAAAGCACATCAATTATATATTAAAAGTATTTATATTTAAAGTTGATCATAACATTTAAAATGTGGCCTCATCCTAACGATCTAAGCGTCTTCTCCTTGGTGTCACTCCATTTGTCATAGGTTCAGAGGCATTTAATTATTAAAGTTCTTATAGCCTACATTTTCCCTCTGACAATAGACTGGTAAGTTGATCCTGAAGCGTCTATTGCAAAGATGCCACATCAATCAATCACAGAAAGATCTTGTACGGGAGATATCCAGACCATTAAATTAGAGTATTTGTTAGTGATTTAGATGAATTATAGTTTAATTTTATTTTAATTATGTTTGTTAGGTTGAACTCAATGCAAATTTGTGGATTTGGAAGAAATGAACGAAAAGGTGTAAAAAATAAAAGAAATTCAAAGTTTGGGGACCAAAGTGTAAACATTCAATTGTTGATTTGGACCATAAAATGATAATTGAAGATCATATAGGATCAATTGGATGTAATTAGAAGTCAAATGAGTGAAATATAGTGGAAGTATAATCACAAATCAATTTCCAGTCGAAGAAGTTATGCTCCACATTTTTAGCTTCAACTTGAGACCCATTGTTCGGATAGAAAATGTTCGAATTGAAAAAATTATATTTCTAAAATAACTGTAGCTCTTTGAATTAACATTCCAGTGAAATTTGAATCAGGTCAATCGGATACCTGTAAAGAAAGTTATGGCCAAAATACCAAAAGTTGAACCCATTTTTATTGTCCAGTATGCTCTTACAACCGTGGCTTTCACAAGTGATTTTATGGACATTAAGGTATGCTTCAATTTTAAGTGCTGATAGTATTGTAGTATGATATCATTAGCGATTTGTTGCTTTATCCTTATTTATTGATAAGGAAAATTACTCGTTAATTCTGTAGAGAAGTGATTCCTTGAAGATTCCTTAACTATTGCAAAAGTTGTTGGAATAAAATCTGTTGAAGAGGAGTTGTTCTGTTGTTGGTTTGATCAATTGATTTCAGTTGGAATCTTCAACTATATGGAGCCTTGGCTTGTAACTGAAATGAGTCTCCTTTATGTCTATCAATAGGAGCCTTAGGTAGTGTTATATAGTGAGCTTGAATCAAAGAGATAGAGTGAATCTCTGTGAGAGAATGAAAGACTTATGATAAAGAGAAAATCAGAGAGAAAGTGAGATTGTGAGAAAAAAAGTTTTCTGAAAATCAATCTGGTAGAAATCTTTCTATAGTATTTTAGATTTCTGATTTTGTATGGTGAATCACCTGAGATGGTGATTGATTCATGTGATTGAATGTAAAGTCCTTTAGTGAATAAAAGACTGAGGAAGAAGATTTCTTCCTGTTACCAATTCTGTTCTGCTGGTCTGTCTTCTTGCTGGTTTATATCTATCATTTCTCTTTTCTGTAATTCTGGATTGATCTTGAGCTGGAGGAAGCCCAAATCCTCAACAAGTGGTATCAGATGCGGGCTTCCAATCTGCAGAATCGAAAGAGGTCTGAAGGTTCTTTTTTAATTTTCTTGATAGCTGTTTGTACACAACGCGTGAAAGAAGTTTCCTGGCCAGATTCTTGCTCTCACAATGTCTACATCTAAGTTTGAAATTGAAAATTTGATGGAAAGAACGACTTCAACCTGTGGAGAGAAAATATAATGGCACACCTTGGCAATCTTGGATTAGATGAAACTTTGAAGAATGAGTCAGACATGGATGCATCAAACAAAGCTGAAATTTTGAAGAAGGTATATAAGCAAGTAGAGGCTGATAAGAATGGAGAAGAAGATGAAGACTTGGAGGAAGGTTTCTCTGAACTTGAAGGTCCAACTGCCTCTGGTGCCATTCTAGAAGATAATGGTGGAGATGATAATGACGATGAACTAATTTCGGGGCTAGAGCTATCTGAAGAGGAGTCTTCAGATGACGGCATGCAAGGGACACAAAATGAGTTGGAGGTATTAGATAATGAGACCGTTGTTGCTGAGAAGGTATCTTCAAGACAGATGGATACTTTAGCATTGGCCTGTTCTATCTTAGATGCTCCGCTTATTCTCTTGGCAAGTTTTTTGGATAAATAGGTTGCAGAAGATGTAGAGTTTCGTGTGACGTGCATTGCCTGCAATTGGTTCGTAAAGTCTCTTCAAGGATCAAGGTAGAGATTGTAGAGAAGTGATTCCTTGAAGATTCCTTAGCTATTGCAAAAGCTGTTGGAATAAAATCTGTTGAAGAAGAGCTGTTCTGTTGTTGGTTTGACCAACTGATTTCGGTTGGAATCTTAAACTATATGGAGCCTTGGCTTGTAACTGAAATGAGGCTCCTTTATGTCTATAAATAGGAGCCTTAGGTAGTGTTATATAGTGAGCTTGAATCAGAGAGATAGAGTGAATCTCTGTGGGAGAATGAAAGAGTTCTGATAAAGAGAAAATCAGAGAGAGTGAGATTGTGAGAAAAGAAGTTTTCTGAAAATCAATATGGTAGAAATCTTTCTATAGTGTTTTAGATTTCTGATTTTATATGGTGAATCACCTGAGATGGTGATTGATTCATGTGATTGAATGTAAAGTCCTTTAGTGAATAAAAGGCTGAGGAAGAAGATTTCTTCCTGTTACCAATTCTGTTCTGCTGGTCTGTCTTCTTGCTGGTTTATATCTGTCATTTCTCTTTTCTGTAATTCTGGATTGATCTTGAGCTGGAGGAAGCCCAAATCCTCAACAAATTCTATTGCATTCATTGCTCTTTGATTTTAATTTCTACAACGTATATGAAGAATGCTTGTATGCAAACATGAGAATCCCAATAAATACCTCCTGAGTTATATGATCTTTACAACACTATTGGAACCCTAGAAGCAACTTATGCTCAGGCATTCAGGAAGGGCAAATCTCTGTCGAGCAGAAACTTGTGGACTGTGCTAGAGTATCTAATAATTATAGTTTCAGTGGTGGCTTGCCACCTCAAGTATTTGAGTACATTACGCATAATGGTGGACTTGAAAGAGAGGCAACAACACAACTATTTTCACTAACATTGTTACAACCCATTTACTATTGGTCACAATTCAAATATGGAATTGTCAAAGTCATAGTCAAATGGGACTTAAGTGAAGCAAATTAATTTCTTGGGATTTATTTCATAATGGATGATATATGAGGGTTAAGGTGGATTATTTTTGGAATTTAGGACTTACTTATATTATCTTGGGAAGTTAAGGGACTTCTTTTGCAATAAGCCCATGACTTAACCATTTTAAAACCCATTTTCCATTTTCATACACCCCTACATGCAGAGACCAAGCTGACCGAGAAAAGAAAGGAAAGAAATGGGAGAAAAAGAAGGAAAGGAGAAAGAAGAAGGAGAAAGAGGAAGGAAAAAGGGAAGAAAAGGGTAAGTGGCTATTTTCTCCATCTTAGGTTCAATTTATCTTAATTTTTTTTTCAAGATATATAGAATTCTATATTGTCATTTTTCTAAGGTTTTAACTTGGCTCGAAATTGAAAATGTAGGTAAAAGATCATGATTTTTAGTTCAAGTTTCTTGATGGTTAGCTTCCATTTATATTTAAGGTAAGGAACCTTATTTTTGGGCAAGCCCTAGAATTTCTAATTTGATTCTAAAGTAAATATTTTTGTGGAAAATGATTGTGATGATGAAAAATTTACTTGGAAGTATATATTTATGGAAGAAGAGGAAAATTTAATGGGATGAATTATGATTACTAGTTGTCATT